AAATGGAAGTACTTACGAGAGATAGAATGGGAGTCGAAGACTACTAGTCTCCATATTAACGAGAATAAGACAAAATATATATTAATGCCTAGAGAATGGACTGGGATACAGCGACCGGATTTAAAAACCACCTACACGATAGACGGACGACGTCAAAAGAATGACCAACAATTGGATTCAGACAGCACAGATCAGAACCAAATGGAACAGAATATGTCTATGTCCAACAATGGACGTAAATTGCAGCTTGATGATGATGATGAAAGACCTCCTTCATCTTGCTTTCTGTTCTTCCTATAATATTTATGTCGTCTATGCCACATTTTCCAGGGTAATGTTAAAAAGCAGACATGACAGTCCATTTCCCTGTCGTGAGCTGACGTTAAATGTAGCAGTCGACTGCTATGGCAGTAACTATTAGAGGCGTCACATTTGCGCAACAGCTATTGTTCAAACTCCGGGCAGGCCAGATATTTGAAAGTGTTTGGGAAAAATAAACTCCGGGCAAGCCAGATATTTATTTTGGAATCCCTCCTTGCTCGGCATTTCGATTGCTTTCACGCAGGCAATGATTCTTGGGATTTTCATCTCCTCATTGCTGTTCTTTACCTCTTCTTGTTGTGGCCAACATCCTTCTTTTAACAGCCATGATGGCCCATTCCACCAAATTTGATGCCGAACTAATTTTTCAGGATTGATACCTCTTGATATGATGTCGGCAGCATTTTCTTCGCCGCTCACGTGATTCCAGTGTTCTTTCGAAATCATCTTCCACTTCGTTGGATCTCCTTTTATCCAAGCTAATGTGATTGTGGAATCTGACCATGCGAAGAGTGGAGTTTCTTGTTCTGGTGGTTCTTTTAAATAATCTTGCAAGTAATATTGCTGCGCAAAGTTCTAATCTTGGTAATTGAATTTTGTTCTTGCAGGTGCTCCTTTTGATTTAGCTATTACTATATGTTTTTTCTGAAGCGTCGCAAAGCACGTGGAGTTCAACTTTGGATCCTTTTTTGCTTTTGATCCACCGTGGCTGGTTTATTTCTTCTAACACTCTTAATTGTTCTTGAAATTGTAACCATGAATGCTTGACTTGGTCTGATACAGCTTTGGATCAAGTCTAATTCTTGGAGTCATAACTCTTGAATGAGAATTTTTGCTTTTATGACGACAGGTGCTAGCCAACCGAGAGGGTCAAATAATTTGGCTACTTCTGACAGAATGTGTCGCTTTTTAGGGTTCTCATTGATGTTCACATTTACTTGAAATCGAAAAGTGTCTGTCAAAGGTACGCCCAAGGATTTGGTTAGCCAATCTTCAGCTATTTCTCTGTCAGCTTGTGCTCTGAGTGAGATTGGTATTGATTTTGTTATGGAATCTGCAATCACACATTAGGAATCTTTTTGTGTATGAATTCTTGGAACTAAAACTGCTTCAATTTAAGAACTTCTTTAATTGAGCATCTTCTTCGACTCGATTTATCATGCTTATAATTGTGGTAGCTTGTTTTTTTTCATTGTTCCTGATAAACTCCATCCAAATTCCGTCTTTTGTCCCAATAATCCATGTTCAGCTTTTATGAATCCGAATGATTTTTCCTTATTCTTCTGCTCCGATGATAGCATCTATGGGACCAGGAATATTAAAGCAATTTATTGTAGGTGAGATTAGCTAGGATTTTGTTGTTCCAGTGTTCGTCTGAGGAAATTGGCTTAGATAGAATAAGGAAAGTGGTATTGAGGGTAAAGTTATTCGGAAAATGAGGTTGGCATGTATTTTTTGCCTTGGACGAGTAAGTTCGCTGCTTCTTCCGTGATGAAGGAGGCTTGGGATCCTGGATCGATAAGTATTCGGAGTTTCTCGGAAACTGCTTTGACTTTCACCAGGGCTGTTGCTAGAAGAACTTCACTTTATAGTCCGCTTGATGTAATCCTATTCTTTCTTTCTTTTTTGGTAGAAACTAGGATTACATTTTGTGTAGATTTTTGTGCTTTGGTTAATCTGCTTGTTCTCATCTCTATGAAGCAACGTATGATGTGGTTTTTGGCAGATGTGACATCTTAACGTTGCTGCTTTTGTCGTGATATAAGCAATTCTTGCACAGTTTTTGAGCTTTGATGTACTCTGTCTTTTCTGGAACTGTAAATTTTTTGAATTTCTTTCTTTTTGAAGTCTTGTATTTTATCTGGCAGATTCCAAATCTTGTCCAGTAGTTTCTCTTTTCAGGTACGTCTTCAAATATTGCATTTTTTCGGAAAAGGTCATAGGGTCTATCAAATACGGGAAGTTTTATTTTTGGAAGAGGGATAGCAGTGTTATTTTGAGGAATATGTTGTGTTTCAGAGGAAGGTCGGTTAGAAATGATGTCTTCTAGTTTTTCCATTACGGCAAAAAAATCCGCCTGAAGGTTAGAATATACATCTTCTTCGAAGTATCGGGCTTGAAATCTACCTGGATATCTTCTTCCAATCTTGAGATGACGATTTATGGCTTCCACTTTGTCATCATCTTCTTCGATCTTCTTCCAAAGTGATTCGAGAGTGTGTAAACGCATATTGAATAAAAATATTGTTTAATCGAGATTTAAGGTATAGCAAAAATCACGTGGCAGTTAGTTGTAATAGCAATAACAACGGAGGAGGCGTGATGAGATTGCTAACGTCAAATTATTTATTGTTCTAATTGGAAAAGAAGGGACAAGACGGTTTTTGCTACTGCTATACATAATAACTATTGTTCCACAAGTTTTTTTGTAATATGCTCCGTTTCAAAAGTGTTACCATTAACTATTTGAAAAAGCAACAAATTCCTCCAATTTTCATACTTTCGTATTTTTCTTGATATTGACGCATCTAAAAGCAAAAGTGCAAGAGAGCAATATTGTTAAGAATAAAATTGGCAATAACAACTGTTCCAAAAGTGTTTTTGTAATATGCTCCGTTTTCTGAATGTTATCTATTAGCCACTTGAAAAAAGCAACAAATTCACTCAATTCTCATATTTTCGTATTTTTCTTGATGTTGACGCATCTGAGAGCAAAAGCGCAAGAGAGCAATAGTGTTAATAATAAAATTTGCAATAACTATTATTTCAAAAGTTTTTTGTAATATGCCCCATTTCCAGAGTGTTACCCATCAACAGCTTGAAAAAGCAACAAATTCATCTAATTTTCATATGTTCGAATTTTTCTTGATATTGACGCATCTAAAAGCAAAAGTGCAAGAGAGCAATATTATTAAGAATGAGATTTTCTACAACTATTGTTCTAAAAGTTTTTTTATAGCATGCTCTGATTCCCGGGTGTTACCATTAACTTGAAAAAGCAACAAATTCATTCAATTTTCGTATTTTCGTATTTTTCTTGATATTGACGCATCTAAAAGCAAAAGTGCAATAGAGCAATAGTGTTAAGAATTAAATTTGCAATAACAATTGTACCAAAAGTTTTCTTGTAATATGCTCCGTTTCCCGAGTGTTACCATTAACAACATGAAAAAGCAACAAATTCCTCAAATTTTCATATTTTTCTTGATATTGACGCATCTAAAAGCAAAAGTACTAGAGAGCAATAGTGTTAAGAATAAAATTTGCAATAACTATTGTTCCAAAAGTATTTTTGTAATATCCTCCATTTCCAGAGTGTTACCCATTAACAACTTGAAGAAGCAACAAATTCCTCCAATTTTCATATTTTCGTATTTTTCTTGATATTGACGCATCTAAAAGCAAAGGTGCAAGAGAGCAATATTGTTAGGAATAAAATTGGCAATAGCAATTGTTCGAAAAGTGTTTTTGTAATATGCTCCGTTTTCTGAATGTTACCCATTAGCCACTTGAAAAAAGCAACAAATTCACTCAATTCTCATATTTTCGTATTTTTCTTGATGTTGACGCATCTGAGAGCAAAAGTGCAAGAGAGGAATAGTGTTAATAATAAAATTTGCAATAACTATTATTTCAAAAGTTTTTTGTAATATGCCCCATTTCTAGAGTGTTACCCATCAACAGCTTGAAAAAGCAACAAATTCATCCAATTTTCATATGTTCGAATTTTTCTTGATATTGACGCATCTAAAAGCAAAAGTGCAAGAGAGCAATATTTTTAAGAATGAGATTTTCTACAACTATTGTTCTAAAAGTTTTCTTATAGCATGTTCTGATTCCCGGGTGTTACCATTAACTTGAAAAAGCAACAAATTCATTCAATTTTCATATTTTCGTATTTTTCTTGATATTGACGCATCTAAAAGCAAAAGTGCAAGAGAGCAATATTATTAAGAATGAGATTTTCTACAACTATTGTTCTAAAAGTTTTTTTATAGCATGCTCTGATTCCCGGGTGTTACCATTAACTTGAAAAAGCAACAAATTCATTCAATTTTCGTATTTTTCTTGATATTGACGCATCTAAAAGCAAAAGTGCAAGAGAGCAATATTATTAAGAATGAGATTTTCTACAATTATTGTTCTAATAGTTTTTTTATAGCATGCTCTGCTTCCCGAGTGTTACCATTAACTTGAAAAAGCAACAAATTCATTCAATTTTCATATTTCTCGTGGCAGTCAGTTGCAATAGCAATAACAACGGAGGAGGCGTGATGAGACTGCTACTGTCAAATTATTTATTGTTCTAATTGGAAATGAAGGGATAAGACGGTTTTTGCTACTGCTATACCAAAACAAGAAATTTTTGTATCAATAACAGTAACTTTTATAACAGTCTTCGTAGTTACTGTCATGGCAGTCGGCTGCTACGTGTTTCTTTTGACTAATTACGCCGAAGTCCTTATAGCCGAGGCTCAGTAAGTAATATCACATAGGCTTACTTGAATACGAAGATTGTACGATTTTAAATAATTAAGTCAAGGTCATCTGTGACCGCGACGCTACAATTTAACAGGATAGGTGGTCGAACGGTAAAAAATCGTTAAAGATGTAGCAAAAACGTTGTTTCTAAGGAGACTAATCAAATCAATGTATCAAATTTGAAGTTAGAATTAATTAATGACAAGTTTATAACGAAAATCTTTTTTTTTTATGGATTTTTGTATTGGGATAATGATATAAAAGAATGTCTATAGTTTTTATTAAGGAACATAACGAAAATATTTATGGTATACAAGATGTGGTCAACGAATCATCATCGAAACATCACATAAAACCCATTGACGAAACAAAACTAGCAAAATGTTCGCAATCTATTACCCCAATTCCAAAGGTTCAACCAAAACTAACATTTAAATCATCAAAACCGGATCCGAAACATTTTTTAAGAAAACGAATCCCACCAAAACCGTGCTTAAAATTAACGAGAAAAAGGTTTTTAACAAAACCCGCAGTCCCCGAAACAATTAAAACCGTCCAAGAACAAGATGAAAAATTAAAATTTATCCCACCAAATGTGATTCGAAGAAATATTCAAAATGCTGTTAATTCGAAACCGAAATCACCTGAACGTGCCGTGGTTATCGATGAACATGGGACGAGAAAGAAATTGAGCGAAGCCCTCGAAGTCACCTACATAAATAAGAAAGCGTTCGCTAAATTACCCGAGTTTGTTACTTTGGAAAAAATTATGAAGGAAAAGAAGAAATTGAAGGAGAAATGGAAAAGTGCCACGGCGCAAAAACCGAAATGTAGGTACATTGTAAGAGATAGTCGAAAAAAATTGTTGAATGGATTAAAAAATAATTGGGAAGAATTACAACGGCAATATCAAAAGTTACCGATTTTAATGGATACGCTTCCGAAGAAAAATCGAAAAAGTCAACTTGAAAGTGAGTTGAAACAAATTGAAAAGGATATCGTGTTTTTAGAGAGACATCCTTATATTTATGTGTATGATAACGACGAATTTTTGGGCTAAACAGTTTTTTCTAATAAAATTAAAGTGATAAAAAATGCCAAAATACTGATAATTTCATAATGAGAGATTATTCATGCTGATACTCGGTCGCAAGCAACCTCGGCTTGGTTAAAATGAAAAGTACACTATTGCTGCATTAAGCCAAGGTCGCTTGCAACCGAGGTGCTACATTTGATACCATTGTACTATAGTACATACTGCAATTCCTCGGTCACAAGCGACCTTGTCGAGGCACTAAAGTTGATGTGGTATTCAACAACACATACTGTGCAATGCCATCTTTATTTTTGTACAATGAATAATAATATTTAAGAACTGAAGTCATTTATGAGCTCTAACAACAACATTTTACAAAACTAAAATATCTCAACCCATTCCAGATATACTTCGTCTGGGAGTCTTAGGTGGAACATCCTTTATATTGGTTCCCTCGGCTGCAAGCTGCATCTACTGATTTTCAAAACTTCGGTTATTATTTATACATCTGAGAGCAAAAGTGAAACAAACAATATTACGAATAAAATTTGCTATAATGTTTGGTCTAAAAGTTTTTTTCCGGCTACATCAACCAGCCTAAGGAATTTCCGAAGGCTAGGATACAGCTCAGAGGTGTGTTTCTTATGCCATCTGTGCATCCTCTCCGAAGTCTCTCATTCTGAGGTCTTGCAGAGTGGGGCATTCACACAAGATGTGTCGAACCGTCTCTTCGCTCTCTTCACAGAGGACTAACAGCAAGCTTAAGGTTATAAAGATGCTTATTTCTGGCAAGCCTTAGACAAATAATAATACATCACCAGTTCATAAACTTTTTGTGAGTAAAATCTTTAATTATCTCAATCTGAGTTGAATTCTCGGTTCAGACGAACATGGCGCTCGCTTGGCAGCCCTTTTGGCAAGCCTATCAGCGTGCTAGTTACTTGAATAAATCATCCATTGAAGTATAACACAGTTATGCACTGCGACCTTCTCCAATCTCACAATCAGATGAGAACCCATAACAAGTTCTGAGGTAATTGTTATTCTATTCAGGGCTAAAATAGCTTGTCTACTGTCACTGTAAATTGTAATACGTGGAGTCGGAGATTGTACGAGAAGACTCCGGCACCAGCTCCTTCGCGTCTCCTTGAACCATCAGTGTAGATTTTAAGGCTGTTGTTTTTTATCTCTACTTCTGTGGAACTTGGGTGGGTGAGATATTTTTTCGTAAAAATGTCTTGTAGGGGGGTAAAGTCCGTTATACATTCCAGAATTGGTGAGTGGTCCACCATTTCATTTCAGAGAATGGCGATTTTACTATATCTCGCACCCATTAAAATTCCTGCTGCTCGCAGTCAAATCATGATTCAACATGTTTTCCATGAGTGTTACCCATTAACAACTTGAAAAATTCATATTTAAAAGCAAAAGTGCAAGAAAGCAATATTATTAAGAATGAGATTTGCTACAACCATTGTTCTAAAAGTTTTTTTATAGCATGCTTTGTTTCCCGAGTGTTACCATTAACTTGAAAAAGCAACAAATTCATTCAATTTACATATTTTCGTATTTTTCTTGACATTGACGCATCTAAAAGCAAAAGTGCAAGAGAGCAATAGTATTAAGAATGAGATTTTCTACAACTATTGTTCTAAAAGTTTTTTTATAGCATGCTCTGATTTCCGGGTGTTACCATTAACTTGAAAAAGCAACAAATTCATTCAATTTTTATATTTTTGTATTTTTCTTGATATTGACGCATCTAAAAGCAAAAGTGCAAGAGAGCAATATTATTAAAAATGGGATTTTCTACAACTATTGTTCTAAAAGTTTTTTTATAGCATGCTCTGATTCCCGGGTGTTACCATTAACTTGAAAAAGCAACAAATTCATTCAATTTTCATATTTTCGTATTTTTCTTGATATTGACGCATCTAAAAGCAAAAGTGCAAGAGAGCAATATCATTAAGAATAAGATTTGCTACAACATTTGTGCTAAAACATTTTTTATAGCATGCTCTGATTCGCGAGTGTTACTATTAACTTGAAAAAGCAACAAATTCATTCAATTTTCATATTTTCGTATTTTTCATGATATTGACGCATCGGAGAGCAAAAGTGCAAGAGAGCAATATTGTTAGGAATAAAATTTGCAATAACTATTGTTTCAAAAGTTTTTTTGTAATATACTGCATTTCCAAAGTGTTATCATTAACAACTTGTAAAATAATCTATTTCATCAAATTTCATATTTTCGTATTTTTCTCGATATCTATGCATTTGAGAGGAAGAGTGCAAGAGAGCAATATTATTAAGAATAAGATTTGCTACAACTATTGTTCTAAAAGTTTTTTTATAGCATGCTCTGCTTCCCGAGTGTTACCATTATCTTGAAAAGGCAACAAATTCATCCTATTTTAATATTTTCGTATTTTTCTTGATATTGACGCATCTAAGAGGAAAAGTGCAAGAGAGCAATATTGTTAAGAATGAAATTTGCTACAACTATTGTTCTAAAAGTTTTTTTATATCATGCTCTGATTCCCGAGTGTTACCATTAACTTGAAAAGGCAACAAATTCATCCTATTTTCATATTTTCGTATTTTTCTTGACATTGACGCATCTAAAAGCAAAAGTGCAAGAGAGCAATATTATTAAGAATGAGATTTGCTACAACTATTGTTCTAAAAGTTTTTTTATAGCATGATCTGCTTCCCGAGTGTTACCATTAACTTGAAAAAGCAACAAATTCATTCAATTTTCATATTTTCGTATTTTTCTTGACATTGACGCATCTAAAAGCAAAAGTGCAAGAGAGCAATATTATTAAGAATGAGATTTTCTACAACTATTGTTCTAAAAGTTTTTTTATAGCATGCTCTGATTCCCGAGTGTTACCATTAACTTGAAAAAGCAACAAATTCATTCAATTTTCATATTTTCGTATTTTTCTTGACATTGACGCATCTAAAAGCAAAAGTGCAAGAGAGCAATATTATTAAGAATGAGATTTGCTACAACTATTGTTCTAAAAGTTTTTTCATAGCATGCTCTGTTTCCCGAGTGTTACCAATAACTTGAAAAAGCAAGAAATTCATTCAATTTTCATATTTTCGTATTTTTCTTGATATTGACGCATCTAAGAGCAAAAGTGCAAGAGAGCAATATTGTTAAGAATGAAATTTGCTACAACTATTGTTCTAAAAGTTTTTTATATCATGCTCTGTTTCCCGAGTGTTACCATTAACTTGAAAAGGCAACAAATTCATCCTATTTTCATATTTTCCTATTTTTCTTGATATTGACGCATCTAAAAGCAAAAGTGCAAGAGAGCAATATTATTAAGAATGAGATTTGCTACAACTATTGTTCTAAAAATTTTTTCATAGCATGCTCTGTTTCCCGAGTGTTACCAATAACTTGAAAAAGCAAGAAATTCATTCGATTTTCATATTTTCGTATTTTTCTTGATATTGACGCATCTAAGAGAAAAAGTGCAAGAGAGCAATATTGTTAACAATAAAATTTGTAACAATTCTTGTTATAAAAGTTTTCTTGTAGCGAGCTTCGATTCCCAAATGTCTCCTTTAATAACTTGAAAGAGCAATAAATTCACAAAATTTTCATATTTTCGTGTTTTTCTCGATATCTATACATCTGAGAGAAAAAGTGCAAGGCGGCTATATTGTTAGAAATAAAATTTGTTATAACTTTTATTCTAAAAGTTTTTTTGTAATATGCTCTGAATCCCAGGTGCTACCATTAACAACTACTAAAACAATGAAATTCATCAAATTTTCGTATTTTTTTCGATATCTATGCATCTGACATTGCGAGAGTAAGGGTGCAAGTGTAAATTTGAACAACACAAAGATGGTCAACGAAGTGTTTTATTGGAACATCATTTTGCATCATTAAGAGCAATATTTTTGGGACAAAAAAAGACTGTTTGAAAGACTTGTTTCGTTTAAATAAATTATGGAAGTGTTTTTACTTTGAATGTCTCGCAAATTCTTAAGTAGGGACATATTTTTGTTTTCACATTAACTGTGTTAGCTTATTCTGGTTCAAAGCGTGTTTGTTTTAAGGTAAACACGTCATCAAAGTGTTGTTGAATACCTTCTTTGCTTACATTACATTGAAAGTCATGGTGCAATCATGTTTTTTTTAAACACCGAGATGTGCTTTGTTACCCAGTTGACAATTTATTTGACATTAATTGACAATTTTCTTTTTTAATCAAACGCAAGTACAGGAAAATTAAAAAAACCCTTAAATATGTCTCTCGTTTTAATAAAAGATCACAATGAGAATATTTTCAATGTTATCGCAACTCCAACGGATCATGTTGTTGTGAAAGAAGAAGTGTACGAGAGCCACGCTTATAAAAAGCTGTTAAGCGAACGAAAAGATCCGAGAAAAAATCAAAAACGTGGCACTTTTGGTTTACCACATTTACCACGTCCCGATCCACATAATTTTTTAAAAAAACGCACCTTCAAACCACCAATGTTTCCTTTGGATGTAATTGATCCGGATCATGGAAAGCATCGTCGTGTAAAAGTTGCAAGGCTGATTCCAACACCCATGAGAGATGATGTGTTAAAAGAGCAAGATGAGAAATTATCGCGTTGGAGACCTAAAAATATGATTAAAAAAAACATTGAGTATGCCATTAAAATGATTCCGAAAGTTCCAGAACGAGTTACAATGATTGATAATAAAGGTACAAGAATTCCATTAAAACCAGGTTTGGAACCAACGTTTGTTCCAACCCCTGCTTACGGAAATTTGCCCCCTTATTTGGAACATTTGGCTAAACAGAGAGAAAAGAATCGGTTAAAACAGGAACAAATAGCGGATAGTTTTCAACCGATTTGTCGCTATTTGATAAGGGATAAAAGGAGATCTTTATTGGAGGGTTTGAAACAAAATTGGGCCGAGTTGCAAAGATTATATTCCGTATTACCAACTGTAACTGACACCATACCGAAAATAACACGAAAATCGAAATTAGAAGCGGATTTAAAACAACTTGAGGCTGATATTGTTTTGCTCGAAAGACATCCTTATATTTATATTTACCCTGATGATGATTTGGATAAAAAAGCTTAATTTTATTTAATATTTTTTTTATATATTTTATGTTATAATTTTTCATTAAAGATTTTTTTTAAGAAAGAATGTGATTTCTCAAATTATAAGCTTTCCAATGAAAGAAACGGAGTTTCAAAATATCTCTTAGTTTTTGAGATATTAATTTCTAAACAGAACTCCCTTTTCTCTCATTTTGTAAGGAATAATTTTCACAACTAATTTTTCAAAAAATCGCAATAAATCGAGGTTTCAATAAATCATTATGAAATTATCAGCATATGTAAATCAAATTATAAGCTTTCAAACAAAAGAAACGGATTTTTAAAATATCTTTTAGTTTTTGAGATATTCATTTCTAAACACAACTTCATTTTTTTCTTATTTTCTAAGGAACAATTTTCACAACTAATTTTTCAAAAAATCGCAATAAATCGAGGTTTCAATAAATCATTATGAAATTATCAGCATATGTAAATCAAATTATAAGCTTTCAAACAAAAGAAACGGATTTTTAAAATATCTTTTAGTTTTTGAGATATTCATTTCTAAACACAACTTCATTTTTTTCTTATTTTCTAAGGAACAATTTTCACAACTAATTTTTCAAAAAATCGCAATAAATCGAGGTTTCAATAAATCATTATGAAATTATCAGCATATGTAAATCAAATTATAAGCTTTCAAACAAAAGAAACGGATTTTTAAAATATCTTTTAGTTTTTGAGATATTCATTTCTAAACACAACTTCATTTTTTTCTTATTTTCTAAGGAACAATTTTCACAACTAATTTTTCAAAAAATCGCAATAAATCGAGGTTTCAATAAATCATTATGAAATTATCAGCATATGTAAATCAAATTATAAGCTTTCAAACAAAAGAAACGGATTTTTAAAATATCTTTTAGTTTTTGAGATATTCATTTCTAAACACAACTTCATTTTTTTCTTATTTTCTAAGGAACAATTCTCACAACTAATTTTTCAAAAAATCGTAATAAATCGGGATTTCAATAAATCATTATGAAATTATCAGCATATGTAAATCAAATTGTAAGCTTTCAAACAAAGAAAACGGATTTTTAAAATATCTTTTAGTTTTTGAGATATTCATTTCTAAACAACTTCATTTTTTTCTTATTTTCTAAGGAACAATCTTCACAACTAATTTTTCAAAAAATCGCAATAAATCGAGGACACAACTTAATTTTTTTCTTAGTTTCTAACGAACAATTTTCACAACTAATTTTTCAGAACAATTTTCACAACTAATTTTTCAAAAAATCGTAATAAATCGAGGTTTCAATAAATCATTATGAAATTATCAGCAGATGTAAATCAAATTATAAGCTCTCAAACAAAAGAAATGGGTTTTTAAAATATCTGTTGGTTTTTGAGATATTCATTTCTAAACACAACTTCATTTTTTCTTATTTTCTAAGAAACAATTTTCATAACTAATTTTTCAAAAAATCGCAATAAATCGAGGTTTCAATAAATCATTATGAAATTATCAGCATATGTAAATCAAATTATAA